TATATATATATATATCACAAATTTAATATAGTATACTCCTAATATAATTACGTTAAGCTAAACTCTTGTTTATTCAGCGAGCATCAATAAATAAGATATCGAAATTTTAAAAATTCATAAAATGTGTGCAAGTGTCGCGATCGAAGAGAAATAATATTCAGTACTATTAGGTGTCACAAGAAGCACGATACAGTTATCATCCAAACAACCTTTCAATCCATCATAATAATCTACAGGTACGTTATCTTGACCTAATTAAGCAAGGGAAGTCTTTGTTCGACATTGCACAGCAGTCATGCCAGATTTGAAATAGATTTGTCTGACTTTTTTCTTTTATATATCTAATGTTTCTAACGATGTCCATTTGTAATCCTTCGCAGTCTCGTCTTGTCAAAATTGCAAATACTTCCAAGTAAAGCAGCACGATCATTTGATGATTTTGATACACTATTCGATGCACCACCGGATGCTTCATGTGATGGTGGTAACGAAGGTGGTGGTGGTGGTGGTGGAATACCTTTACCAGGAACTGCGCTTGTTTGCGTAACTTCCACAGAACCTTAGTAAAAGAAATTTTTAATGATAGATTTTTCGTAGAGATTTACATTTCATTCTAAGAAATTCAACAAAAAAACTGTCTAATTCGTCTCTTTAGAGATGTAAGCTACATAACTAATCAGATCTGTATATAGATATTATAAAAACAATAAAAAAGATTTTTAAAAAATATGCACAAGATAAGCTAAGGGTGTAATTACAAAATGATTATTACAAAAAATATATTTTATATGGAAAACAATACAAAGCAATGATGAGGAAAAATCTTATAAAATGAAAATAAGGATAAATGTGAAAATTCGTAAGACGTTAAGAAGACCTGAATGCTCGAATGACCTACGTGAAAGGAATGACCTCAGCTTGATGACTACACGCCATCAACTTTTGTGTCCAGCTAATCAAGAGATGTAAAAACGTAAATGTCAATTAGCATTGATGACAGTAGCAAGGAGGAGCATTATAATGACTTACGAAGTGATGGAGGAGTCAACGTTCCAACGCTGGTAGCTGTGGAAGTACTTGTAGGACTGTCCGAACGTTCTGGACTCTTACCATTTATTTGCTTTGTTCCGTTTGTACCTAGTTGCGAGGAAAAACGTTGTTCTTGTGCCAATTTCTGCTCCTTTTTCTATAGAAGAAAAATATGAGATAGTACTGCGATCAATCATAATTTTTCTGAGTTTCTTTTTGTTTATACTCACCAATTTATGTTTTCGTTTTTTCATTTCTTCTTCTGAACTCATCATTTCTTGAACTTTAACAAGCCTCTTTTGATGTCGAGCAACTTTCTGTTCATCGCGCAATCGTTGTTCAGCTTTATTTACAGCTTCTTGTAAAGCCTCTTTTAAATGATTGCTTAGTTTAAAATACGGTTTCTCCACAGTACCAATTGCCAATGCAGCGCGTCTCGCTGATTCGAAGAATGGATGTTCCAACAGCCGTACTACTGTTGGTAGATCCTGTTTCAAGGCTTCTGGTGACAAGATAACCTCCAGCAAATTTTTTAAATTCGCTTCACACTGCGGTAAATCAGAACACGTTGCCTCCAAAAGCGGTCGTCCGAACGTCATTTCATACAAAACATGTCCAAATGAATATACATCAACCTGAGTCTGTTAAAAAAACATATGAAATGATAAATACAAGAAAACATCTAGAAAGAATATCTTTAAAGATTGAAAAATTCATGTATTCTTTTGCTCTTTTACTTTTAATTGTTGCCATTAGGTATAGAATAACATATACCGTGGCGTGCAATTTGCGCCTTTGTACCACGTAAGGCCGATAAAACGCAGGCAATCCTAGGAGTCCATTTTCTATATCCAATAATTTAGCACATCTTGGTGTTAAAAGGACATTGCCAGTGTGTAAATGTCCATAAGGTAATCCTTTTTCATGAAGAAATCCTAGAGCTTCTAATATCTACAAATCATATTGTACATCAAACCGAGTAATCTCAAAATTATCTCATTATAATATATTCTTCTGTGCAATAATTATTAACCTGATAACCGTACGTGGCAATCTCTTGTATTGTTAATGCTTTTATTTGTTTTGGATTTCCATATTTCTTTATAAATGGCTGTTTAGGCTTAGTGATACATAAAACGTCACGCAATGTGCCCGCCGAATAAAAATTTCTTATCATTAGTGCCCCATTGTCTGTAACATGCTGGTGTACTATTGGTTCGATGTAAGTATGTCGTAGAGAGCCTAGGGTCTTGAAAACTCCTTGTATATCTTTATCTTGTAAATGTTTATCAGGGCCAAACTCGACCCAAGCTAGTAGAAGTTCTTGTTTCGGGTTCTGACGATTTTTCACCGTATAATAATGTTTCCTCAATCGCCATCCCATATCAGGAATGGGCTTGCATACTTCGAAATTGGCATCGCTTCGTAATGCTAATGATACTTGTTGTAGTGCGATTTCTAGAAAAGATAAATAATTTTCACATTTTGCTTTTAATATCTAGAAACAAATTATACATCTTAATGTTGAAAAAAATTTCTTCATAATAAGACAATAATTTTAATTAAATCATCTCACTGAATAACATTGGTTGCAACAAAATGTTATTTTGTTAAAAGTTTTCTTCATAAAGGTAGGACTATATGATCTAAAAGTACAATCAGTGCAAAGCACTAACTAAATGCTGATTTTACTGAAC